AATTTTTGATAAATTTAGATTCCTAACAATATTATTAACAATTCTTTAAATTTTAGTGTAATTTAATCAAGTATTTTAGCAGAAATATAAAGAAAACAAAGTTTTCTCAAACTTTTCCAAATTGAGTAAATTTACTGACGAAGTTAAGTGTTGCTTGTGTATACTGTATCGGTATTAATCTTCGTAACCTGATAATAGCATTATTAAAGCATTAAGCGCATTAATATAACGCAATCAAGTGTAATGGATACGTTAATACCGAGCCAACCCTAGGCGCTATACGCCGCTATGTTGCTTCATGACGCCTTTAATATCCATTGTCCATCACTTAAATGACACCCTTAAGGACCTTGAACTGTGATCAGTTTTCCTCAGGCACGCGCTAAAATAATACCGATATCTTTACGCTACACCGCGTGGAAAATCAACGCACGCACAATATTGCTAAAGTTCATTATCATCCGAATCATATACTTTCGATTTTTCTCGCCGGCGTTTTCTCTCTGGAGGGGTAATTTTCACGCTTAGAAAAATGTCGAAATACTGGCGGAGCTATTTTTGTGTTGCCCGGAGTGTGTTGGGGTTATTTTCGGTGCAGAATTTACAGGTTTACATCAGCTTTCAGAGGGGGTTTGTGGAAGTTACACACCGGCCTATGCGTGTATTTTAATCGATGTTTACCTTTTCGCCACCTTTTGTCCCCTATCGTGTTACGTTCCCATGGGGGTTGGGCTCTCCATGTGTTGTCATACTTTAACTTTAACCACTTCTGACGGGAAATGTTCAGAGCTTGAATAAACATTACTTTAAACCCGATTTAAAGGTCAAAAAAGAAAAAAGTTGGAAGAATGAAAAATAAAAGTTTGGTTTTTTAAAGATAACTATTAAATGATAAATTATTTATTTCTTTTTTAAAGTGTGGTTTATAGTTCTTATAAATATCTATCTATTGAAATTTAAATTTAGTTTCTATTTCTTTTAGTTTAGAAGTTATAAGCGTTTGAATTTTTTTTTATTTCAGACGCGACAAAATTTAAACTATTTACATTTTTTTTAATTATGCAAAAACTAGAAAAGCTACTTAATAATAATTTGGCGTATTAAAAGTGAATTAAATTCTCTTTATAATGACACTTTGGTCAAATTTCTGTGATTTTTAGTAACTGAGTTATAACGTTTTGAAAATCAACCTAAATCTCAAAAGTAATTCAAAACAGAACAAAACATTTTAAATAAACTTTAATAATAAATTACGGACCACAATTAATTTTATTAAACATTATTTCAAGTTAAAATTATAAAACATATACAGACTTACAAATTGACTCAAAAATGGTTCTCCTATCTTTGATAGTTTTAAAGTTATAATGATTTATGTAAAATATTCAGATAACTTTGCAGCTATTTTAACCTTACTCTACTTCTATCCAAGTATTCCACTAGAACAAAAGATCAGAATGTGAATTGATGATAAAACACGTCGGTCTGAGTCAGTGAATGTGTATCGCGTACGTTTTGCACATCTTCCGGTCGCGTAATCGCGTGAGAAGGGAATCGATAATTCCCGGCGCTGGGCGCACCGGGAACGGGAACGCGTTTGCGGCGGCCGCGAACCGCCACCGCCGCCTCGACGCAATGACGCGTGATAATCACGCATTATTAGTGACATAATAACGTTGTCGGCGACGTGTGGGTGCGCATCTGTGCCGCACAAAATCATTACCATTGCGCGTACGATTACGATTACGATCTCAAAGTACTCGTATACTCACAATTCGCAAACATTGCACGTAGACGCCAAGTAATTACGGGCGCTAATTGCCAATTAATTAATAATCACTAATTAATCATTACCTTAGTCAACATAATGTATCTTATCGTTTCTAGACAAGTCTAGCCGGGTTTAAAATTAATTTTAACACAAAAGATATAGGTTATGGTGTTATTAATAATTTAGAAGAGATTCTCGTCTCTAATTGAGGTTTTACTATTAAATTATTTAAGTAAAACGTGTTTTGTGTTGCATATAGTGAAAAATAACAACTTGGAATAATTTACAACGTGGTACGTTGGTTGCATACCATACCATCGATGTGGAAAAGCGATTATAACTTGATTAAACTTTCGAGATTTGTTTGCAACATTGTGTTTCAACTTCATTTCAACACTAACTCGCTTAACAACAACTTGTTTTCGAAAAGTTCAAGAAAGAAGCAAGCACGATAAGCACAAGTGTAAAGCCAAAGCACGCCCGTGTGAGATTGTACGTTGGCGGAGTTTTACAGTTTTCTGCTTTATCGATTTGATAGCACCCTCGACACTCTGGGCCCTTTTGGTACTCTTGCAGCCCAGGCCGGAATAACCGTTAACCCAGTTTTAAGTTCGCATAATTATCTCTACCCTTTTCCATCAGCTCTGGTAATATTTAATTAAAGCATAAAGTTGTGTAACCGGTTAAATCAATGTTTAAGTTGCGATTGAAGCTGAAATATTATTAATTTTTTGAATAATGCATGTAATTTCAATAATAATTATGTTTCTGTTTGTATTACACTTGAAATGATTAAGGTGCTAATCCAATTACGCTTTGTTGGATTTCGTTGCGTGCGTTCATGCGTGGCTGCGCTGTGTAATGATATGTGTGATGCAAATTGTAATTATGACCGATGCAGACGTGGATGCAAAATGCGAAATGTATGTAAGTGTGGTTGCGTGCATTTGGGGGTTGACCAGGGTGGTGTGAATCCGGGATACAATCACTCTCTCTCTCGCTGGAATGTGTAACATTCATTATCCAATTGTTGGGAGTTGGCGCGTTAGAGAATTTGAATGGACGTAATCACTACTCGCAAATATTGACATGATTGCGTCTATTTCGTCTAGTGATTTAGTTTCTGTTGTTGGTATTGCTTGTATTGGAGAGTGTAACAGTTGGTAGAGTGTGGGGCGTAACTGTATGCAACTTGTACTACATTTTTTATGTATAAAAATATTTATTTTACTTTTTTATGTTGTAACGTTGTTAATATTAATCGTAGAGAAGTGATTTAAAAATAATTAGAAAGGTAAAATTATGTAAATTAATATTTACTAAAAATTTTAATAATAACTTTTGTAGTTTTTGTGTAAAAATGAAAAAAAGCATGAAAGTAACACAAAAAACTTCAAACACAAAATAAAAAGTTAAATAACTTTTGAACTAATATAACTAGAGAGTTCAATTTTGTTTTATGTGGTAAATATTATAAAGGACTATAAAATCTACTAATACTAAAGTTGTTTGATATCACCACTCGATGTTAATTGATCGAAAACATAAAAACAAAGTTTTACACGCAGAGGCATTTTATGATAATGCACTTTCTATGAGAATGTGCATGTACCTCACCTAATAATAAAGGCAGAAATTTGTTTGTTCAACTTGAAGTGTGTCTGCGAAAGCACTCAGCACTCACTCTCAACAAGTGGCGCTAATGAAAATTCGTTCGCGCCGAAACAATCTCGCCGCGCGGAGCGCACAACGCGCACGAATTAAAACCAGAAATGCTTACACACTCAACTGACAGAGCGCAACTCGAAGCGACCGGGCGAATAACTTCCCTCGCAATCTAAAGTGAATTTACTTCGTCTCCGCCGACAAACAGAAAAAAAAACGATTTTCTTACAAAATCCGCAACAAAATACAATTTGATTACTTCAAAAGTAAAGTAGAACACTTTAAACGTAGACAATATTATATTTAAAACGTTTAATTATTAGTGGAATTGCAAACAACGTTTGAAATGCGAAATTACAAGCTAATCACCGTTAATTAATATGCCAGACAAATTTCCCTCTTAGCGACGACTGATAAAACGTGTAAATTATAGGTGAAATTATCGGCTTTTCGCCCTGGGAAGCAGTGGGAGGCGGAAATAAATGGAAATGGAAAGTTCGAATTTAATTAAGAAACCGCAACGCGGCTGCGTAATTACTTGCGCACACCTTCAATACACATCTGTAGGCTCTTTGAGCACCTCTCTCGGAGGAAATTATAAATTACATTGGTTTGACAATATTGAACTTTGGGTTGCCTAGAGTTTGCAAAACTTGTGAAATTTTCGGTTATATAGTTCGCGTGCGTACAGCTCGACAATGTGATGTGATGTGTGTAGGAGTGGTTGCCTATTATTAAGTTTAACTTGCTATTATAAATGCATTAGCGTGGAAATCGCAAAGTTTGCGTCCGGTTTCAAGGCGGATAGTCACAATTGAAAGGTCTAAAGCCAACTAATGACAAAGGGCTTACTTGAGTACGCTCGCTACATATCTAATTATGCAGATTACATGACGTTTATATGCATTTACGGCGTAGTTTACTCTAGGCAACCAAATATACATGAAAAATGTTTGGATTTGTTTTTAATCGGTTTGAATCTAATTTAAAGATAAAAGTAACACAGAATCATAAAATACGCGTTAAAATGGCGCCGATAAAATCCGCCCAAATCGAAACCGAAATATAAATCCTCGAAACAAATGCAAATAAACTAATAAAGCGCAAGATTAGCATTACTGATAGAGATTTAACGGCTTTGTGTCGTGTTTCCACCCACGCGCAACGCACAAAAACATTTTCAATCTCATTGTGATTAAAACTCGCTCACAAATTGATACATTTTTTATTTTCTTGCGTTTTTTGTTTTCAAACTTGTTGTGCTTAAAATAATGAAGATTCTAATTTGTTCGCCGTTTTCTCAAGCGCACATTAACCTTAATTGAATACTCTAAACGAGATTAACGTGAAATTTATGTCTTCACAGCGAGAAATTGAGGCTACAAAATGACCCATCTACGAGGTGCTTTACCTAACAGCCAGTGATTAATGTAAATTGTACGAATTGTATACAGGTGGGCTTAAAATGTGTGCCACGTGTGTGTATAACTGGTTGCCTAAGTTATAATACGTTGAGTTTAGTCTAATTTTGTGTGTTGATTAATGAATGTATGTTGGGTTGCAGATTCAAACTCATCGTGGCGGCACCCGGAAAGAATCAGATGAAGGGCCGCCACCAATTCCGGCGGCGGTTCAGCCTCCAGCCGTCGTTTATGAAGGACGACGATGAGGAACGCAGTCATCCGCCTAGGTAACAAAAAATTAAATAAAAAAATTAAATTTAAACAAAAAAAAAAACAAAGATAAATTTTGTACATAATTTCTAGGTTAGTTTTACTTACTTATATATGAAGGCAGATTATTTATTGACAGATGGATAGCGACTAGCGAATGATGAGTGTGAGGAATGACGAATGGCGAATGATGAATGTCAAATTAGTAATGTCATGTGATTTTAAACAGTACTGAAATACTTTAATTAAAAAAAAAACTGCTGTGTACGTGTGGCACCCAAAATGTTTGGTTCTCTGTTTGATTCTCTCGTCACAGTTTCAATGCGGCACTGCGGTGTCAGAGCATACCGGAAACCGAAACGGTACCCGGCGCGGCCGCCCCGGTCAAAGCACCGCGGACGCCGCGCAGCTCCCCGAGGCGAATGGTGTAAGTACCTAACCTCGAAAAATCAAAACCAAAATAGTATCAATATCATCATCAGTAACTCTATCAACTCCAAAACAAATCAAAATAATCCAAAAATTAATCAATTGGTCAAGTTTACTTCGATGGATCATGTTGAATGTTAACTGTTTTTGAGTTCCCTTTGTAGCCATTTTGTTTTGCGTGACGTCATCCATAGAATCAGTGTATTGGACTATTGAGGAATGTCGTAGAATAAATGTTTGTGCGTGCAAATGTTTGATGTGTGCATGCAAGCAACGCAAACAAACGTATAACTTGACAATAGCTACCCTTACATAACCTCAAACTTTAGGACTAAACCTGTGTTGAATATTAGATCGCAGCGGAGTGAGGAGGGCGAAGCGTTGGACAACAAAGGCGAGGCAAATGTGCGGCATAAAATCGTCGTGATGGGTTCGGCCAAAGTCGGCAAATCATCGCTGATCACACAATTCTTATACGGCACCTTTTCGCCGAAATACAAACGCACAGTTGAGGAAATGCACCACAGCGACTTTAATGTCTCCGGCGTGCATTTAATGTTGGATATTTTGGATACGTCAGGCGCGTATGAGTTTCCAGCGATGCGTGCGTTGTCTATTTCATCTGCGGATGCGTTTATTCTTGTCTATGATGTCACCAATGCTGAAACTTTCGATGAAGTACGCACGTTGAGAGATCAGATACATGAAATCAAAGGGGGCACTGCTGTTCCTATCGTGATTGTCGGTAATAAAGTGGATATGGTTGGTAATCGTGAGGTAGGCAACCAAATATACACAAATTTTACAATGTGTGATATTATGTATGTTTTAATTTAAAGGTTGATACAAGTACTACGGAAACAACAGCAACACTTGAATGGGAAAATGGTTTCGTGGAAGCATCCGCCAAGGACAACATCAACGTGAGCAAGGTGTTCAAAGAGTTGCTTGTACAGGCGAAGGTAAAATATAATCTCAGTCCGGCCCTGCGTCGACGCCGACGGCAATCATTGCCGTCGCATCCGGCGCCGCCTCCGGCCTCTCATAACCCCTCGTCAGCTGTCATCCCGTCCGCCGTTCAGCTGCAACATCTTCAACAGCTGCGCGATCGTCATGGCAAACGCAACTCTTGCATCATTTCGTAAACATACATAACCGTAATATAATGTCAACTTAACATATGCAACCTTATACACATTCCTCGACATTCCAATTATTTTCAATTTTGATGTAACTTACTTAAAATCTACACCAAACTATAAGCAATTTATTAAGTGACATATTAAGAGAAATCAAAAGTAGCTACTTACACCAAAGCCGCCATTTTATTTTTTCTCACATACATTAACACCAAACATACACGCTCGTATTTGCTACCGTTCATAACATGTGACGACACTGTGTGCTAGTACTCATTACTCGTATTTATTCGATTTTATAACAAAATAAACTTAACAACAAAAAAAAACAACTGTCAATATCAGTATTGTGCTAAATGCTAAACTTAGAAACTGGAAAAATCGACATGGTTGTAATGATGTACAATGTACAGATTATTTAAGTTATACTATGCAACCCAATATGCATATACGCGACGTGGTAGTGTTGTATTAATAAGAAGAATACATATTTCAATATGACACTTGCGACAATCTTACATAAATATCAAAAATATCAATGTAAAGTTTCATTCTCAACTGAAATTTCGTAGAGGAACAATTTATTGTTAGACTCATCGTAGGCAACCAGAATAACACGTCTTTCGGACTGGTGCTTAAGAAAATATGTCCAATATTATATCAAAATGTACTGAATTACATGCATATGTATCATATTCAATGTTTGCAAGTGTTGCCAGTATTTATTTATAACAAACAACTAACATTATTATATCTGTGACGGAAATAAACTAAATAAATTATATTGAATTCAAGCGTATGCAACTATAGGCAACTGTATATGCAGCTCGAGTGTTTGTTGTGCGTTGGCGTAGAAATATCGGGTGCATTTGTGGAAACAAAATGGCAGCAAGCCGTGCAAACAAACAAATATTAGCGATGTATCAACGTCTAACGCCATCCGGCGTGTCGCAGTTACACGTTCGCATACAATAACAATTACAACGCGAGATTCTGAGAGTTTTTACAAAAGAAAATGATGAAAAAACGTGCGGCGAACTTCACATCGGAAGAGAAGAACGAATTGTTGGACGCAGTGTTGAGATATCGCGACGTGCTTTTCGGACGTGTTGGATTACCGAGCCGGTTTTGGGCGGCGAAGAAAGCCGCGTGGTGTAGTATTGTCGACGCGGTTAACCAAGTGCGACCAACACCGGGGCGCAACGTGCATGAGTGTCGGAGGAAATTGAAAGATCTCAAGGCTGCAACACGCAAAAAATGTAAGTTTATGTTGAATAATTCACTTAAGTTGTGTTATTTAATGAAATCAGCCATCATAAAATTGCGCCCGCCATCTTGTTCATAATAAAATACACCGTTTATGGTTTTAATCGAAATACAAACACAAAACGCCATTCGAGAAACAAAAACATACAATGAAACATCATAGAGGTCGCTAGGTGTTATTTGGTAGTCAAGACAATGCATGTTTGTTTGTTTTGGGTTTATTTGTTTATTCTCATGCGTTAGTCATGGACGTGAACGGCGTGTGGAAAGACGACGTTGATTTGAAGGACGCGACACCCGAAGAGCTCAAAATATTGAAGCTTCTAGGCAACGACGAGAAACCAACCAACATGGATCGTAAGTATATTTATTTAATCTTAATAACAACAATAATTATTTTATTTATAAAAAGTCTCCATTGTAAAAATGGAAGACGTAGTCTCTGATATCCCAATGCAGACTAACAATGATAATAAAGACGAAATCAATATGAACCCGGAAATCCCTGAAGAAGCTGAAATTGTCCTTGAGACTATCCCAATGGTTTCCCCGGTATCCAAACCCATTTCATCAGTGACCCCAAATATTACCGTTGTACCGCAGACCACCCTGAAAGTGGAACCATTAAAACGCCCTGTAGGACAAGCGTTTCCCCTAACAGTTAATGAAAACACTAACATGACCCCAATTAATCCTGATCAAGGTCAACTTCAAGGTCAAGATCATATTCCCAACGATGAGGTCCTAAACCTAACCTCTTATGATAACAACCATCAATCTCCTACACATTCTCATAACCTCTCAGATGGACAGGTCCTAGGTTCCGGAAGTGGTCAACATCGTAGAGGCTCACGTTCTAATCATGACCATGTAAGACCCCTGGGGGAATTTGCTGCTCCTCTCCCCTTGAAACGTATTAAACTTTTTGTACGTAATGTTCCTACTTTGAATCAACCCTCGACCTCAGTGGGACCTACCGCCAGCGGAAATGTTTTGAATTTTGCGATTTGTCCTTGTAATAAACACGCACAGAGGAAGGTCCATGATGTGGCCATACAAACAGAACACAATGGTTATGGAAGGATTCTGATGGAGAAAATGATTGATACACAGAATATGACGGCGCAGGTTTTGAATAATTTGGATAGGGTTGTCCAGCTTGCTACCTCCCGAGGAATGTTTGAAGAGAATCATAATCATGAGTTTATTAAAAGAGAGATTAAAACTGAGATAAAGAGTAATGATGATGAGGAAGAACAGAGGAATGGTGATGATGAAGATAGAGAGAATATGTAACGTGTTGCTATGTTATGTTAATTACGAGTATTGATCAAACACTTTGTATAATCTATAAGAAATGCTTAGAAACTTGTTTTGTGTGTACTGTTAGTTTAGTTGCGTGTTATCTTCCGACAATGTCACATCAAACTTATGATTCTCTGTGGTCAACTGCTCAGGAGCTCCTTGCTTCAACCCTTCAAAGTGAACCCACTCAGGCGGATGCTCGGGAACAACGTACTCTTTTAGTTACTTTGTATTTGAGGTATATTATCATCTCCAATAGACTTTCGGAGGTGATTGATCAGATTGTCCAACCTCAAAAAAGACTCCTAATTAGGAAGATCTTGGAAGCTGTTCTTGGGAGGGTTTTGGAATTGAAGAATGATTTGGTGGAGGCTGATCTTAATGAATACACGCATTTCGGGGAGGTTTTGTCACAACTGGGGTTGACTCCGCTGCATACACAATTGGTGATTCCTCCGGTTTTTAAAGAAGAAAGAAGTGAAGAAATTAAATATCGTAGGGAGTTTATTCAGACTACCCTGGATAAAATTGGTGAATTGGGTGTTCCTGTGGTTAGGCAGAAGATGAGTAACCAGGAAGCTGTTTTGATTGTTCAGGCACATGAAAGAGCTCGTCAGGGAAGGTTAAGAGCACAGTTTATGAAGGAGATAAAAACTTTGAAGGAAAAAGAACGTGGGAAACCCGCGGTGCAAGGTGGGGAAGAGATTAGTCTGCCTGCAGCGATGAGGATACAGAAAGTATGGAGGGGGTATATGGCTAGGAGAGCTACGAGGAGAAGAAAGTTGCAGGAAATGTTGTTGATTGGTATGATTCCTCATCAGAAGAAGGAAAGTCTTGAAGTTACTAATAATAAAATTACGTTTGAGAAAAGAAAACTTCTTCAAATTAAAAATTCGGAAGACCTAGACAGATTAACAAAGGAAACCAAGGAGAATCTTTTAAATAACCAGAAAGGTATTATTCTAGAACAGCTAGGAGATCAGGTAAGGAGTTGGTTGTATGAGTACAAAGAGCAAACCGGGAAGATACCTGAATATACAGGATCGGAAAGATCAACGTCCAGGATGTTGATGAGTCGTCAAGGAACAGGCACTGATAGTGAATTGAGTAAATCTTCTTCCAAAGATTCTAAAAAGTCTAAATCTTCTGCTAAAGAAAAAGAAAACAAAGAAAATGAAGATGGAGAAGAAGAAACTGCTGTCAAAGCTACTGTATCTTTATTTTTACCAGCCCTGACCATTCACAAAGATGAATATGATGAGACCTGGAGGAATAAAGATGAGTCCTCTAATCCCCATCAAGATCCCTATGTTGATTTGATTGAAAAACAAGAAACTTTGGCTTTGGAGAATGAATTACGAAGAACTGTTGATGACATGATGAGGACCGAGTTACAACTGTTACAAGAAGCCCTTGATAGAGATAAAGGGCATAAAGGTAAAAAACCAAAGAAAGCAAGTAAAAAAATGCGAAGAAGTGGGAAAAAATCAAAGAAGAAGAAGGAGAAAGATTTAACACCTGATAGAACAACAGAATCTTTATTTGAAGAACTGGTTTCTAATGGTATTATTAAGCTATGTCCAGAGGTGTCTCTAAAAGATTACATAGGTGAAAACTCTTATAATTCTTCAGTTGCTCATAATATTCCCAAGGAACCAAAAATCTGCGTGGGGGATTTACGTCAAGTCATAGCTGAGAATTGTATCCTTCCATTATTGACCCAACAACTGCATGAGACAACCCCACTTGTAAAGTCGGTGTTGTTGACTGGCGCTGTAGGCAGCGGGAAGGATATGCTTGTTTATGCTGCGTGTCATGAGGCGGGTGCGACCCTCTTTGATTTGACGCCGAGTAATATCGCAGGGAAGTATCCGGGGAAGTCTGGGTTGATTATGTTGTTGCATTTGGTGACGAAAGTGGCGAGGTTGTTGCAACCTTCGGTGATTTATATGGATAATGCGGAGCGGCCATTTGTGAAGAAGGTGCCGAAGAGTGATAAGAGTGATCCGAAGAGGCTTAAGAAGGATTTACCCAAATTGGTTAAAAGTAAAAGTTAAAAGTTAAGGTTTATGAGGAAATAGGAAGTAAAATATGTTTTTGTTTAGATTTTTGTACGGAGGAGAGAATAATGTTGATTGGAGCAACAAATTGTCCATGGGAGGCTGATCAGAAATTATTGGCACAAGTTTACCAAAAGTTTTTGATTATTCCGAAACCTGATTATAGTTCAAGGTTTGCTCTATGGACACATTTACTAGGAGAGTACAATGCTATCTCCTGGCAGTTTGATTACAGCGGTGTGACTAAGATTTCAGATGGATATTCAATCGGTAAGTTTATAATATTAGTAGAATATTAGTATCAAGTGCACTAAGTGGCACTTTAACAACGTTTAGCAACGTGATGCTTACGTTTTTTCAACTTTTACTAGATTTCCGCGTTTAGTGTTAAAACCATGACAAAAGTGATTTTTTTAAATTGAAGCAAAAACAAATTTATTATTATGTATTATCCTATTTGATGTTTGTTTACAGGAGCTATTGTGGAAACAGTTAATGAAGTGATGACTGTAAAACGTAAATTACAACTGCGTGTAAAACAATTAAGTCCTTTAGAGTTGATTAACGGCTTAGCAAAACGTACGCCGATTTATAAAGAGGAAGAGGAGGCTTTGCTGGCATGGTGGACCAAAGCTCCCATGGCTAAACGAAGGCAGAAGGCTGTGGAGCAACTTTTAGAAATGGAAGATGAAACAAAAACTAAACAAGCAAAAGCTAAACGCTAATAACAACGAAAAATAGACTTAAGTTGAAGTTTTCTGTTATTTAAATCAAACAAAACGTTTATATTTTATATATTTTGAGTGTTTTTGGTTATGCTGATAGAGAAAATGGCGGCTTGAGGTTGGTTTTCACGTAGTACAAGCCATTACTGAAAAATAATCATGTATTCATTATATAATTGTATTAATTAAGTGTATTTGTAAATAAATATTACGTGTATGTTTCCTCGTGCCCCATGAAGACTTCAGATTCTTCAAAACATCGACTATAGATGGCCTCCTGAACATTTGCGCATTTTTGTGCCTTGAATGACCTTGGATTCAGGATACTCTCGATGAAGTACACATAAGCACGGCCATGATTACAATTTATACTTTCAGGCACTTTCCCTTTAATTTAAAATAAAAATAAACTCATATATCAATTGAGGTTATGTTTACGTACAAATATCTAACAACTCCGGGCATCCAGGTTGGAATCTCCCACCATTCGGATAGAAATCCACGTGTCCCAAAGGTTCAGCAAGGCTTAAAATGCGCATGTACGTGTGAATGACGTCGACAAGTTGAGCGTCGCCTGGATCAAGTTTGAGGTTAGGTGGCATAGCACCGTAACCTGGTCCAGCTGGATCCAAACCTGTGATGCGGCCTACTTTACCGCCTTGGATTGCATCTGCGCCTGTGCCAGCCACATGAGCGCCTAAACTATGCCCGATTACATGGATATCTGCATATTGTACGCCCGTGCGGATTAAGAAGTTTATGAATGCGGTTAGCGCGTCGCCGGCCATTTGCGCGCCGCGCATCGCTGAGAAGTATTCGAAATCACAGAGGGCGCTCCAGTCCATGCCGATTATATTGTAGTCACCAGTTGATAAATACACTATTAAGAAGTTAATTGTTAATTTTGATGCTTCAAAAAGTGTTTTGAGACAATTTACCGTCTTTCATTAAGTAAAACACTTCATCTCGGATAGAACTCAAGTAACCATGTATGATTATTTTAGTCGGATGGGTTATATTGAATCCAGAATTTTCAAAACCTTGATAATCGCCAACTTTGAGATTAAATCCATTGTTACCACTTTAATATTTAAAAAATTTGGTTAAATTCATATTTTATTGTTTTTAAATTTGTAATATTTACTTTGTGAATAAAATAAACTGCACGTTAGGTCCTTTGGGATCCATGAGCGCGGTGAAGTTCACACCTCTCGCGTCCGCCAGCTGAGTGTTGGCTTGATTCTGATTGTCTGCAAATGTAAACACGGCGTGCATTCATGGCTCATTAACTTTGAATGGGCGAAATTGTCGTGTTATTGACGCGAAATTGCAGTGAAAGTTATGCGACGAGTGAAATTAGATTACCGCATTCGATTATGAAAATTATTCGATTAAAATTCAGTCTAATATTTTGTTAGAGTTATATATTCATTAAGATTCCATTAATCAAAATGTCCAAAGTTATAATTATGAGTTATTATAAGTTGAAAACACAGTGCAACTCAAAAATTATAGTAATAAATTATCTTGCGGTTGTAAAAACGTAAAAAATAACAAAGTTTTATAAAATTTTCATAATTTTTGTATTTTTTGCATTTTTTTACTTGAATGTTAATAATATAATGTTTAAATTAAATTTGGGGTAATTTTGAAGTAATCTTTGAATGGTAGACTAATAAATGCATTTGTTTAAGTAAAAATGTAAAAGATATCGAAATTTTATCAAAATTTTGGTCATTTTTGCATTTTTTGGAGTTTTCATAATTTTTACGGCTAAACTTTAATAAACATTATATATAATTTAAATATGTTGTTAATTCAGGAGTATACTTACACACAGTAACAGCAATAACAGTCCCAGCTACTAATAATCCCACTGCAGCTGCTGTTGCACTCATGACGCACATAAAAATTTAACAAACTTTTAAAACTTCCACAATTTCCCCAAAAATAATTAAATTTGTACTCTTTTAGATTTCATAAACATTAAAATTTCAAAATATTAAATTTTAATTTAAAATAACTCGCATTTTTGCTTCTTATTGTTTTATATTATCAAAAATTGAAACAATTATGTTTGGTGTTGATGCACAATCTCTTGACGATGAACTGATATTCACGCTGTGCATCATCCGCAACTCATTCACTCGACACGGAAATAAAAAAATAAATCAGGAAGTTATTTGTGAGTAATGTTTAGATTCCCAATCTTTTACCGAATGGTACAATAATATGGAGAGTACACATAAAAATATGAAATAAATATCATAAATAAATACTTTATGTATAATATTTATTGAAACTCTTTGTATAGAGTTGAAACTTATCGTAAAATGTTTAATCTATAATTGATTTACATCATAATGATTGTTTTGGGTCATTTTGAGATCGACCGTTCAATATTTTGATAACGATAATGGCTAAGTATAATTATTTCCCTTGTTTAGGCAAAAACAATGAGTGGAATTTGTAAACAAATTATTTTGTCATTAAATATATAATTTACAAAGGGTAAATTTATGTAAAATTTTAGTATTACTTCTTTAAAAAGAAATATATTGCATTATATTTCTTGTAAGATTGAATTTTAGAATAGTATAAATATTTATAGTTAAAAAGTGCATTGTAGCGCCATCTTTAGGTTAGTGAAGGCACTATTCACTACATAGCATAATAAATAATGTTATCCTTTAATTCTTGTATAAATATACATGGTTTAATGAATAAATAGTAAGAAAAATAATGAAAAATGTAATATATCAGTTATTATATTTAAAAAAATGGTTTATTTTGTTTTGAACTGTTATTTCCACGTATCTGTATATTACAGATACAAAACTATTAATCTACGGCATATCCTCTATAAGATAAAGTATTAAAATTTTCCTATTTTTAACATTAAAAATTAATTTCTTTAGTTAAATTTCAAAAGAGCTCCGCGATCTGAAATAGAAAAGAAGAAAACTGAGCTGTTCTTTCAGTGGTTTTAAAAATATTATATAGAATTGTTTAAATTATGATTAGTGTATCTTCTTGTTTAGCGCGTAACTAAACCAAAGATATTTGTATTTCACAATGAGAACTGAATGTTTGTGTTGTCCCGTATGTACTGGATCTAGAAGGAATGATTTTGCGCCGTTTGCATGACCTTGTTGGCACAAGTATCATCTTACATGCGCCGCCTATCAATTGTTTACCTTCTTTAGTCGGTCGAGCGCTGTGGTGTGACATGCACGTGTTTTGTTCATCAGTCGATCTTCATAGCAACTCTTAATATTAATTCGTGGAACAAATATACGTTTGCTTTTCATGTTAAATTAAAATTGTGAGCACAACGGTAAGTGAAATAATTGCAACCAAAATGTAAATATTATGCCCAACTTTTTAAACAAGATCGCTAATTTGTGTGTTTACCATTTGTGTTTACCAAGTACCCTTTTGTTTGTACACCGTTGGAAAATATAACCAAAGTTTGATAATTACTGCTTGAAGTATAAAAACATTGTTGAGATTGCAACGAAGCTATAAAGAAGATCGGAGATGATTCAGTGATGCAGTGTGCGGCAGAAAACTATCTTACAACAATCAACTGTAAGTACTACCTGATTCATAAAACATCCTTACTAATATTATAAATGCGTATGTCCTGAAGTTTATCGCGCTTTCACGCAAAAACTACTTAACAGATCATCATGAAAAATTTTTACACATATTCTTAGTGGTCCCCGATAGGTTATATTCTACTTTTTATTTAATAAAAATAATTATTTTTTAAATAAAATAAAGGAATTGTTTAGTCACTAACACCTCTGCATCTGGTTATTTGACTACTTTAACGCCATCTAGCATTCCAGCAATGAAGCTCACACCTAGGTACTATAGTACCATCACACTGTATTACCGACAGCTACGTCAACATCAAATCCGTACACATATTCTTAGTGGTCCCCGATGGTCCCGGAATGGTTATAGGCTACTATTTTATTTAATAAAAACTTATTTTTAAATAAAATAAAGAAATTGTTTAGCCAATAATACCTCTGCATCTGGCTAATTGACTACTTTAACGCCATCTAGCATTCCATCTAAAATTTAAAACTTTATTGCATGCAGTAATTTTTCACATAGATAATCCTAGCCAAGCAGTGAAATATACATTCTTTCTATCAATCCGTTTCAACTATGTATAATGATTTCTAATATTTATTTGATGGATTCAACGCGAGCGAAGCCGCGGGTTAAAGCTAGTAATCTATCTATATATATATAAAATTTGCGTGTCACAGTGTTTGTTTCCATACTCCTCCGAAACGGCTTTACCGATTTTTACCAAATTTTATATGCGTATTCAGTAGGTCTGAGAATCGGCTAACATCTATTTTTCATACCCCTAAGTGATAAGGGTTGTTCACCCTTAACTTTTTTTTAAATTTTTGGACAAATTCTTTTGTTTTTATTTTTTTTATAATGTGGAATTAAAAAATACATACAACCCTAAATTTTTAGTTTTTTATTACCAACCCCTATTTCTTTATAGCCATTTTAGTAATTTAATCATTTTTCATCCCGCTCAAAGAAAATTTTTATATGCGTATTCAGTAGGTCTGAGAATCGGTAACTTCATATCTCTAAGCGATAAGGGTTGTTCAGCCTTAATTTTTTTAAATTTTGGTCGAAACTTTTGTTTTTATTTTTAATGTGGCATTAAAATATACATACAACCCTAAATTTTGGTTTCTTATCACCAACCCCTATTTTTTATAACAAAAGTTACAAAAAGTAACTTACTTATACTTTTGTCTACACTAAAATTTATCTAGAAACTAGAAATAATTTATATGGCAAAACAACGTTTGCCCGGTTAACTAGTGTCTTATCAATTTTATATTTTTTATATTTTTGGGTTACGAAAGACAAATTTTTGCAAAAGACCATTTTTGCCTCAGATTGTAAGTATTAAATTTCTTTATCATTCTCCTAAATAACATTTGAGATTGTCTTACAAATTCACCCTTAAAATTGCATTTTTATGCTTCGTAGGAGTAATTTTTACATGTTTTAGGGATTTTACGCCTGAGTTCGACATCGTAGGTGGACCATTTTTGCATCAGATTGTAAGTATTAAAATTCTTTATCATTTTACGAAATAATCTTAATGAATATCCCACAAATTGACCTTTAAAATTGCATTTTTATGCTTCGTAGGAGTAATTTTTACATGTTTTAGGGATTTTACGCCTGAGTTCGACATCGTAGGTGGACCATTTTTGCATCAGATTGTAAGTATTAAAATGCTTTATCAGTTTCCTAAATAACATTTATGAATACCTTACAAATTGACCCTTAAAATTGCATTTATATGCTTCCAAGGACTACGGTGCCCTGAACAGGAATCACTTCTACCGCTACCTTCGTACGGTGCCCTGAACATGAGTCACTTCTACCGCTACCTTCGTACGGTGCCTTGAACACGAGTCACATCTACCGCTACCTTCGTATGGTATCCTGATTACTTCTACTGTTACCCTCTATGGTGCTCTGGACCCGAGTCACTTCTACTGTCACCCTCCTACGAGTAACGTGAAGTAAAAGTTCAAAAATAGTCACAAAATTTACTAAGAGCAGAGATTTTACGTGTTTGTCCCAGATTTTTCACCAGATTATGCTTCGAAGGACTAATTTTTACTTGTTTTAGGGATTTTGCACTTAAGTCCGACTTCGTAGATGGACCATTTTTGCATCAGATTGTAAGTATTAAAATTCTTTATCATTTTCCTAAATAACTTTAATGAATATCCCACAAATTGACCCTTAAAATTGCATTTTTATGCTTCGAAGGACTAATTTTTACTTGTTTTAGGGATTTTGCACCTGAGTCCGACTTCGTAGATGGACCATTTTTGCATCAGATTGTAAGTATTAAAATTCTTTATCATTTCCCTAAATAACTTTAATGAATATCCCACAAATTGACCCTTAAAATTGCATTTTTATGCTTCGAAGGACTAATTTTTACTTGTTTTAGGGATTTTGCACCTGAGTCCGACTTCGTAGATGGACCATTTTTCATCAGATTGTAAGTATTAAAATTCTTTATCATTTCCCTAAATAACTTTAATGAATATCCCACAAATTGACCCTTAAAATTGCATTTTTATGCTTCGAAGGACTAATTTTTACTTGTTTTAGGGATTTTGCACCTGAGTCCGACTTCGTAGATGGACCATTTTTGCATCAGATTGTAAGTATTAAATTTCTTTATCATTTTCCTAAATAACTTTAATGAATATCCCACAAATTGACCCTTAAAATTGCATTTTTATGCTTCGAAGGACTAATTTTTACTTGTTTTAGGGATTTTGCACCTGAGTCCGACTTCGTAGATGGACCATTTTTGCATCAGATTGTAAGTATTAAATTTCTTTATCATTTTCCTAAATAACTTTAATGAATATCCCACAAATTGACCCTTAAAATTGCATTTTTATGCTTCGAAGGACTAATTTTTACTTGTTTTGGGGATTTTGCATTATGCATTATGTTAAAATTTACTTGGGTTGCAAAATTATTTTTGTGAGTAGTTCACTAGGCAGTCGCGAAACTTTTTGTTTGTTTACTATTGGCTTTGTTCACCTTGTCTCTCAACAGTGTCAACTGGTGTCAACTCTCTTCTCTACTTAGTCGGCCGTGCATTGTTGCGCGATGCGCACGTGTTTCTGGCATTCGGTGCTAGCTTTACATTCGGTCGATCGTTGACGGCGTGTGATAATTACGGGATAATGTGATAATTACTGCGCGTAAAACTCAGGATTAAGATTTGGGTGTGCGCGTGTCTTCCGACGGATATCTTCCGGTGATATTGTATTCCCATTGGATTTATTATTTCATGATTTGTTAAACAGATTTCGGCTGTGTAGTATCTTCAGTCATTGTTACTATATAAATAAAGAGAAATAAGGTAATACGTTAAAATCATAATTTAATTTCACTTAATACTTTTCAAATTTATTATATTTTGATTTTTATTGAAATAAAATAATAGTTGATATAATTCTATCAAGCATATTTATTTTTGTATTCTCTTTATCGTTTCCAGAAATAGTTATAATAGTTATGTTTGTATGATGGTTATACAGTGTTGTTGTTTTTAAAAAGGTGAGACAAACAACAACATTTATACCTGAAACGAATATGTCTTGATAAGTGAGCGTTGTGGCTCAGGTGGCATGTGCGTATGCTAGCGTGCTGGAGGTTCGTGGATCGAATCTCAGTTGTAGAAGGAAGTTTTATTAAATATTAAGAAATATACGAAATGTGGGTTGCATACCATACAAAAATCAATTCAAATATTAGAAATAACTGAAACACAACAGGAATAAGTAGAAAGAAGATAGAAGATGGTGGAGGAGCAAGAAGAGAGCAGCAGCAGGAGAAGTAAGAAGAGAAGAAAGAGAATAGGAGTACAAACAGGAAAGAGAGGAGGGGTGGCCGAGTTTTTAAACTTTTTTGGCACGTGTCGTTATAAGACAGTCTACGGTCGATCTCCCAGAGCGCCTCCGGCGCTCTGGTCGATCGCCCACTGCTTCGATGCCTCCATTGCTCCCGGCCCATCCTACAGCTACGATGTCTCTGCGCTTCATCCCCGGAATTATCAGGCATATCAACAATTTTATGGTGGGGATCACCCCAGAGAGAGGGAACTCCTTATAAGGACAATCCTTATAAGGTCTTATAAAAATATTTCTAAGTTTTAAGTCATCTCAAGAGAGGCGACACTTAAAAATATTCTTACAAGTTCTGACCTGTAGCTGAAATGAAAGAAGGAGCACACAAATTACACAGGATACCTTAACAATTTTTATAGTGGGGATCATCCCCTGAGAGAGGGAACTGTTCCTGTAATCATAGAAGGGGTACACACAAATAAAAGAAGTCAATATATCTTACTATTTCTTTATTAACAATAGAATACAAGTTTAGACTTTACAAGTCAACAGAATACATGTCGCACTATTGAAACAGAACTTACGACCTGCTAAGCTGCGCACATAGCAAGTAGCACTTCGTACAGTTCGACCGGAATAAGTGTGTTACAAATGAAAAATTCAATGTGAGAACAGAAAAACATTTTAGCACTACAAATATCATTCGTTTTTCACTCCAGGTTGGGGAAACTAATATACAGGGTGTTACAAAAAGAAAATCTACAATGTAAAAAGAAAATGGCTTCCAAGCAATAAATATTGGCAACTTTTTTGCTGAGCAAGAAAATTTTATATACAGGGTGTTGTCAACAGGAAATTTTCTATTTATAAAGAAAATTACCCGAAAACAATAAAGATTGCTAATTTTATGCCGAACATAAAGAAAAATTTATATACAGGGTGATGCAAAAAAGAAAACAAAAATTCAAGTTTTGTTACCTGTTTCCATCAGATATCCAGGAGAAGTGATAGGTGCAGTGCCGGTTTTAGCACTACCAGCGCTCTGGGCGAGATTTCTACGGCGCCCCCTAACTGCAATTCAAACCCATACGAAAAAACCGGCCAAGTGCGAGTCGGCGCCCCAGAAAGTCCGGCGCCCTTGGGCGGTCGCCCAACACACAACTACCAATATACTTCGCGTTAAAAAATTTTCTAGCAATAAATTTCAATACGAGGTGATACAAAATTAAATTCCGCATCTAATAAAATTATTCCGAACTTAGAAGAAGAGCGCGTTCGCGTGTTATAATAGAAAAACTACAATTTCTAGCGCAACGAGTACAAGTGCGTATACACACAACTATCAATATAACTCGCGTTAAAAAATTTTCTAGCAATAAATTTTAATACAGGGAGATACAAAATTAAATTCCGCATCTAATAAAATTATTCCGAACTTAGAATAAGACCGCGTTCGCGTGTTATAATAGAAAAACTACAATTTCTAGCGCAACGAGTACAAGTGCGTATACACACAACTATCAATATAACTCGCGTTAAAAAATTTTCTAGCAATAAATTTCAATACGAGGTGATACAAAATTAAATTCCGCATCTAATAAAATTATTCCGAACTTAGAATAAGACCGCGTTCGCGTGTTATAATAGAAAAACTACAATTTCTAGCGCAACGAGTACAAGTGCGTATACACACAACTATCAATATAACTCGCGTTAAAAAATTTTCTAGCAATAAATTTTAATACAGGGAGATACAAAATTAAATTCCGCATCTAATAAAATTATTCCGAACTTAGAATAAGACCGCGTTCGCGTGTTATAATAGAAAAACTACAATTCCTAGCGCAACGAGTACAAGTGCGTATACACACAACTATCAATATAACTCGCGTTAAAAAATTTTCTAGCAATAAATTTCTATACGAGGTGATACAAAATTAAATTCCGCATCTAATAAAATTATTCCGAACTTAGAATAAGACCGCGTTCGCGTGTTATTACAGAAAAACTACAATTCCTAGCGCAACGAGTACAAGTGCGTATACACACAACTATCAATATAACTCGCGTTAAAAAATTTTCTAGCAATAAATTTCAATACGAGGTGATACAAAATTAAATTCCGCATCTAATAAAATTATTCCGAACTTAGAATAAGACCGCGTTCGCGTGTTATAATAGAAAAACTACAATTCCTAGCGCAACGAGTACAAGTGCGTATACACACAACTATCAATATAACTCGCGTTAAAAAATTTTCTAGCAATAAATTTTAATACAGGGAGATACAAAATTAAATTCCGCATCTAATAAAATTATTCCGAACTTAGAATAAGACCGCGTTCGCGTGTTATAATAGAAAAACTACAATTCCTAGCGCAACGAGTACAAGTGCGTATACACACAACTATCAATATAACTCGCGTTAAAAAATTTTCTAGCAATAAATTTTAATACAGGGAGATACAAAATTAAATTCCGCATCTAATAAAATTATTCCGAACTTAGAATAAGACCGCGTTCGCGTGTTATAATAGAAAAACTACAATTTCTAGCGCAACGAGTACAAGTGCGTATACACACAACTATCAATATAACTCGCGTTAAAAATTTTCTAGCAATAAATTTTAATACAGGGAGATACAAAATTAAATTCCGCATCTAATAAAATTATTCCGAACTTAGAATAAGACCGCGTTCGCGTGTTATAATAGAAAAACTACAATTCCTAGCGCAACGAGTACAAGTGCGTATACACACAACTATCAATATAACTCGCGTAAAAAATTTTCTAGCAATAAATTTCGATACAGGGAGATACAGAATTAAATTCCGCATCTAATAAAATTATTCCGAACTTAGAATAAGACCGCGTTCGCGTGTTATAATAGAAAAACTACAATTCCTAGCGCAACGAGTACAAGTGCGTATACACACAACTATCAATATAACTCGCGTTAAAAAATTTTCTAGCAATAAATTTCAATACGAGGTGATACAAAATTAAATTCCGCATCTAATAAAATTATTCCGAACTTAGAATAAGACCGCGTTCGCGTGTTATAATAGAAAAACTACAATTTCTAGCGCAACGAGTACAAGTGCGTATACACACAACTATCAATATAACTCGCGTTAAAAATTTTCTAGCAATAAATTTTAATACAGGGAGAAACAGAATTAAATTCCGCATCTAATAAAATTATTCCGAACTTAGAATAAGACCGCGTTCGCGTGTTATAATAGAAAACTACAATTCCTAGCGCAACGAGTACAAGTGCGTATACACACAACTATCAATATAACTCGCGTTAAAAAATTTTCTAGCAATAAATTTTAATACAGGGAGATACAGAATTAAATTCCGCATCTAATAAAATTATTCCGAACTTAGAATAAGACCGCGTTCGCGTGTTATAATAGAAAAACTACAATTCCTAGCGCAACGAGTACAAGTGCGTATACACACAACTATCAATATAACTCGCGTTAAAAAATTTTCTAGCAATAAATTTCAATACAGGGAGAAACAGAATTAAATTCCGCATCTAATAAAATTATTCCGAACTTATTATAAGACCTCGTTCGCGTGTTATAATAGAAAAACCACCAATTCCTAGCGCAACGAGTACAAGTGCGTATACACACAACTATCAATATAACTCGCGTTAAAAAATTTTCTAGCAATAAATTTTAATACAGGGAGATACAAAATTAAATTCCGCATCTAATAAAATTATTCCGAACTTAGAATAAGACCGCGTTCGCGTGTTATAATAGAAAAACCACCAATTCCTAGCGCAACGAGTACAAGTGCGTATACACACAACTATCAATATAACTCGCGTTAAAAAATTTTCTAGCAATAAATTTTAATACAGGGAGATACAGAATTAAATTCCGCATCTAATAAAATTATTCCGAACTTAGAATAAGACCGCGTTCGCGTGTTATAATAGAAAAACTACAATTCCTAGCGCAACGAGTACAAGTGCGTATACACACAACTATCAATATAACTCGCGTTAAAAAATTTTCTAGCAATAAATTTCAATACAGGGAGAAACAGAATTAAATTCCGCATCTAATAAAATTATTCCGAACTTAGAATAAGACCGCGTTCGCGTGTTATAACAGAAAAACTACAATTCCTAGCGCAACGAGTACAAGTGCGTATATACACAACTATCAATATAACTCGCGTTAAAAAATTTTCTAGCAATAAATTTTAATACAGGGAGATACAAAATTAAATTCCGCATCGAATAAAATTATTTCGAACTAAGAGTAAGACCGCGTTTGCGTGTTATAATAAAAACCTACAATTCCTAGCGCAACGAGTACAAGTGCGTATACACACAACTATCAATATAACTCGCGTTAAAAAATTTTCTAGCAATAAATTTTAATACAGGGAGATACAAAATTAAATTCCGCATCTAATAAAATTATTCCGAACTTAGAGTAAGACCGCGTTCGCGTGTTATAATAGAAAACTACAATTCCTAGCGCAACGAGTACAAATGCGTATACACACAACTATTAATATAACTCGCGTTACAAAATTTTCTAGCAATAAATTTTAATATAGGGAGATACAAAATTAAATTCCGCATCTAATAAAATTATTCCGAACTTATAGTAAGACCGCGTTCGCGTGTTATAATAAGAAAACTACAATTCCTAGCGCAACGAGTACAAGTGCGTATACACACAACTATCAATATAACTCGCGTTACAAAATTTTCTAGCAATAAATTTTAATATAAGGAAATACAAAATTAAATTCCGCATCTAATAAAATTATTCCCGACTTAGAATTAGACCGCGTTCGCGTGTTATAACAAAAAACTACAATTCCTAGCGCAACGAGTACAAGTGCGTATACACACAACTATCAATAAAACTCGCGTTACAGAACTTTCTCGCAATAAATTTCGATACAGGGAGATACAGAATTAAATTCCGCATCTAGAAGAATTATTCCGAACCTATAACAAGACCGCGTTCGCGTGTTATAATAAGAAAACTACAATTCCTAGCGCAACGAGTACAAATGCGTATACACACAACTATTAATATAACTCGCGTTACGAAATTTTCTAGCAATAAATTTTAATATAGGGAGATACAGAATTAAATTCCGCATCTACTGAAATTATTCCGAACTTATTATAAGACCGCGTTCGCGTGTTATAATGGAAAAACTACAATTCCTAGCGCAACGAGTACAAGTGCGTATACACACAACTATCAATATAACTCGCGTTAAAAATTTTCTAGCAATAAATTTTAATACAGGGAGATACAAAATTAAATTCCACATCTAATAAAATTATTCCGAACTTAGAATAAGACCGCGTTCGCGTGTTATAATAGAAAAACTACAATTCCTAGCGCAACGAGTACAAGTGCGTATACACACAACTATCAATATAACTCGCGTTAAAAAATTTTCTAGCAATAAATTTTAATACAGGGAGATACAAAATTAAATTCCACATCTAATAAAATTATTCCGAACTTAGAATAAGACCGCGTTCGCGTGTTATAATAGAAAAACTACAATTCCTAGCGCAACGAGTACAAGTGCGTATACACACAACTATCAATATAACTCGCGTTAAAAATTTTTCTAGCAATAAATTTTAAAACAGGGAGATACAAAATTAAATTCCACATCTAATAAAATTATTCCGAACTTAGAATAAGACCGCGTTCGCGTGTTATAATAGAAAAACTACAATTCCTAGCGCAACGAGTACAAGTGCGTATACACACAACTATCAATATAACTCGCGTTAAAAAATTTTCTAGCAATAAATTTTAATACAGGGAGATACAAAATTAAATTCCACATCTAATAAAATTATTCCGAACTTAGAATAAGACCGCGTTCGCGTGTTATAATAGAAAAACTACAATTCCTAGCGCAACGAGTACAAGTGCGTATACACACAACTATCAATATAACTCGCGTTAAAAATTTTTCTAGCAATAAATTTTAAAACAGGGAGATACAAAATTAAATTCCACATCTAATAAAATTATTCCGAACTTAGAATAAGACCGCGTTCGCGTGTTATAATAGAAAAACTACAATTCCTAGCGCAACGAGTACAATTGCGTATACACACAACTATCAATATAACTCGCGTAAAAAAATTTTCTAGCAATAAATTTCGATACAGGGAGATACAGAATTAAATTCCGCATCTAAGAAAATTATTTCGAACTTAAAGTAAGACCGCGTTCGCGTATTATAACAAAAATAATCAGGATACCGTACGAAGGTAGCGGTAGAAGTGACTCCTGTTCAGGGCACCGTAGTCCTTCGAAGCATAAAAATGCAATTTTAAGAGTCAATTTGTAAAATATTCATAAAAGTTATTTAGGAAAATGATAAAGAAATTTAATACTTACAATCTGATGTAAAAATGGTCCTTTTACGATGTCGGAGTCAGGTGCAAGTCTAATCAAAGAAAGAACTGAAACAGAAAAAACACGTGAATTAGAACTCGCACTATGTTGCATAATTAAATATAAAGTCCGTTCCGTCAGATAATAAACTTGCATTGCAAGTGGTATTTTGACCCACAATGTTCAGATCATTACGAGCTAGTAAACTTGTTTAAATCCCCGTAAATTCCTGCCGAGGACAAAATTTAATTATACGCACTCGAAGTTCACAATGGCATATAAATTTTGAATTCCAATTATCAGCATTGAAAAAATCTAATTGCCGACGGTACACCAATGCACAAATGAAGACACAAGTTTTAAAATCATTTCACGCACAAATCAATGTTTGAAAAACACTAAACACGTCAATTGCCATTAAGTGCCGATATTTATCGATATGATGTATTGCCGTTCATTTAATTGAAATGAACGGAAGAAAGATGGTGACAAGCCGCGTGCAGGTAAGAACACACTGAAACGTTCGCACGTTCGTAGTGCAAGTGCAGCGTAGTGGAGCTGATGACCAATTTCCATAGCATATTTAATTGTGACACTACACTTTGTAAAATTGAAATAAATAATTATATAAGTAATTTCGTTACGTTAATATAAATTAAAGTAAAATTTTATGTATTAAAATATAATACATAATATTATTTTTATGTACAACTTCTAAGGCTCACTTAACACAAACATTTGTGTAAAGGTTACTTCACGCATTATATGTGTATAGGACAGTTAAATATTACTTACTTCTATTTCAGTGCAACAGTGATACATTTTTATCACTACACATCATAAACTTGCAATTGATAATATAAGTTATTACATTAACTTAATATAAACAAAAGTTAAATTTTATATATTTGTTTAATGTAATATATTTTATATAGAATTGTGTCAACTTATCAAAGCGTAGTTAACGCACACGTTGTTTGTAAAAAGTACTTTACACTTGATACAACATCTTAGTAAACTTGAATTTATTTCCATTTCAGTGTTAGAGTGTATAATTGCAACACACCTCCTTGTAAACTACAACTAAATAATGATGTAAGAAATTTCGCTAACTTAATAAATATTAAAATAAAATTTTATGTATTATATTTTTTTGTACTCTTGCGTTATCTAAATATTGCAAGACCATTACAGTGGTATAAATGGTTCCCAAGATAATGCTCAATTTCCACAGGATGTCTCCAAAAATGTTAAAAATGACCGAACTTTAAGGGCGGTTTTCAGACTGTTCCCGTCTGATTTTCTGGGCCAAAATGGGTGCATCGCTTAGATAAATTCTTCCGGTATGAGAATATTGCAAAAAAAATTGGAGTCACTAAGATGGTTCCCGAGATAATGACCAATTTCCACAGGATGTTTTCAAAAATGTTAAAAATGACCAAACTTTAAGGGCGGTTTTCACACTGTTCCCGTGTGATTTTCAGAGCCAAAATGGGCCCATTGCTTAGATAACCCCTTCGGGTATCTAAATATTGCAAAAAAATTACAGTTACATAAATGGTTCCCGAGATAATGACCAATTTCCACAGGATGTTTTCAAAAATGTTAAAAATGACCAAACTTTAAGGGCGGTTTTCACACTGTTCCCGTGTGATTTTCAGAGCCAAAATGGGCCCATTGCTTAGATAACCTCTTCGGGTATCTAAATATTGCAAAAAATTACAGGCACATAAATGGTTCCCGAGATAATGCCCAATTTCCACAGGATGTTTTCAAAATGTTCAAAAATGACCGAACTTTAGGGGCGGTTTTCAGACTGTTCCCGTCTGATTTTCTGGGTCAAAATATGCCCATCGCTTAGAGAAACTCTTCCTCTATATAAATATTGCAATAACATTACCGTGGCATGAATGGTTCCCGAGATAGTGACCAATTTCCACAGGATGTTTACAAAAATGCTAAAATGATCGGACTTTAGGGGCGATTTTCAGACTGTTCCCGTGTGATTTTTAGGGCCAAAATGGGCCCATCGCGTAGATAAAATGAAAATGAAATCAAGAAAAACGTAAATTTTTAGTTGGTAACTTTGGTCAAGAATGGGAAGTAGCCCATATACACTCAAAAACAGCTTATAAAGCAGGTACAAACGCTGAAATCGACGCAGATATCGGTGTTAAAATTGGTTTAAGATCAGTTAACATCACTTTAAAAAGCGACGTGGATTCGACGTGGGGCGCATTAAAAGGAGAAGTTATCAATTACAACGAACGTTTTGAGTGGACATGGGAGCAAGGACGTTTTGGTTTTGGCCCATATGGTAATCAATAAACAATTACTATAAAAATTAAAACAAAAAAACTAATACAAACCTAATGTTTATGTATAGCTGGACACTTTCAGCAGGAGTTTCGAGCTGCACAATATCGAGGTGTACCTACACCAATACTCTGGATAGCTGATTACTTTGTTATCGACGGTGAAGGACAACGATTTGGGCGATTCTATCGCACAGCAGGATGGTACGCACATATTTCCATGTGGAGTGCATTCCCTTGCTGGATTATAGCTAATATATTATCCAGGTGAAACATTAACACACATAATTCATCTAAAACTAAATAATTCCTTAATTTCTTTGTTCGTAGAACTGTTTTGAGGTATTGTGGATACTCACTTGGTCTATGTGGCTTCTTTCAACTGATGGCAAATCTCCTCTGGGTATTAATCAAGAACCCAAATCCTTTGGTAATACCATTTGAAGATGATACACTTGTAACAAAATACGGTGGTAGTTTCTGGCTGACATTCGTGTCTGGAATCATCTGTATCACACTGTGTATTGTTATTGTCATCGCTGATAATCAATGGACTTATCAATTGCACAACTTCTTCGGTTTGTCAGCTTTGAACAGCACAGATGAGAAATATTTAAGTAAGTACTAAAAATTTACAATATTTTAATGTTAATTAATGTTTTTTTGTAATATTTAGCTTATGATGAAGTACAGAAGTATGATGATCACAAAAAACAAAAGACAAATGGTCCTGAAGATCTCGAAATGTTGGTTAGAATGCGTCCCAATATTGCAGATCGTCACAATAAAAGAGAATCGGTTGTTGTTCGAGTTCGCAGGAATACAAATTCAGTTCTAAGACCGCCTGTTCCTCCAAAACGCAAACCTGCACGTGCTGCACCTCCCCGCCAGTATAAAAACAGATAAAATCGAAAATTTATTCAAATAAACATAACAATTGTCACAAACCAGTTTATCACTTCAACTTAATAGATGCTTTCACAATAAATATTACGTTAACTTATTCTGAATGCAAATTATGTTCTAATTTTGGCATTGATGTAACTCCACTTTTACTTTTTAACACAAGTGTTGTGTTTTTTATCTTCCAGTTGTTTTCACTGGTGGGATCTCTCGCCAAAGCAAATATTTGTTCAAAAACACCCGAAATTATATTATTTATGTGTAAAGTACCACAGGACATAATCATTACTAATCCGTGCGGATCTGTTTTACCTTTTGTTCCGTCTGTGTGTAAATTTGGATTGAAAAATAAACCGTGTTCGCTTTTTATTTTAAATAAAAGATTACCAATGCATTTCCCATCGTTTTTGACCTCTTCTTCTTGTGATATTGCATCACTGACTAATTTTAATTGAAGAGACGCGTCTGGAAAGAAGTGTTCACTGCCTATGACTTCGTTTTTGTTCATTAATTCGTAAAACCATTCACAAAATTTCAATGACATTACTTCTAAACTGTTAGGGCTAATTGTGTTCTGTGTTTGATTAATGTATACATTTGTAATATGTATATTTGTTGTTGTTGATGAAGAAACTTCTGATTTCTGTAAATTTTCAACATTATTGTGTAAATGTGGATTTGAAGATGTTTTTTATATAAATCTAAGTTTTGTTCAGTTCTATTGGGATTATTTGGATTTATCTGGTTTTTATCCCATGCTTGGACGATAATCTCAATAAGTTCATCCTTGGTAACTGGAAGTTCAACTTTGATACCTGAATCGTGAAGATATTCAAAGAGAATGTTTCTTGTGAGGACTTTTCTTCTTAAAAAACTTGCCACATCTGTTGAATACTTTAGAATTGCATCTATTGCAGCTATAATTTATGGAGGATAGTATTTTGTTACCTATTAATATATATTTGATTAATTATCTTACCATCTCTGGAGTTTATTTTGTTTTTAAGTAGCCCTTGAGTTATAGTTGCACATAGTGACAAAACTTCACTGTCACTAAAATTTACAAGAAGTTGTTTAATTCCATTTATAGCACCTGGATTGTCAATCATTTTATTGCATAATTTAGCGCTTAGTATTAATTGTAACAATAGGATTTATGTTTTTAATAAAACTGAACTTTATCAAACTTTAAAGTTGTATTTATAGGTTGTGTCGAGTACTGGAGGGAGCTTTTTAAGTTGGCAACGTTTATACTTGGTGTATTAATATAAAAATTAAGAGAATTAAACTTTAAATTACCATAAATTAAGCAACAAAATGACAAAATTTATTTATTTTTATATATAGTATTTTATATTTGTTAAATAAATTGTATATATATGTTATTTTGGTAATTATGCTCTAAAACGTTTGGAAATAATCTTTACTCAACCCAGTATAAATCTGTATAAAGTGACAAATCTGTCAAAACAATCAATCTGACAGCGTGTTTTTTTGCTTCAATATTCGTTACACATTATTCTCGCGAATAATCGTGTTACTGATAACGCTACTAATTTTATTATACGGAGCTTTTAAGTTGGCAACGTTTATACTTGGTGTAATAATATAAAACTTAAGAGAATTAAACTTCAATTTATTATAAATTAAGCAACAAAATGACAAAATTTATTTATTTTTATATATAGTATTTTATATTTGTTAAATAAATTGTATATATATGTTATTTTGGTAATTATGCTCTAAAACGTTTGGAAATAATCTTTACTCACCCCCAGTATAAATCAGTATAAAGTGACAAATCTGTCAAAACAATCAATCTGACAGCGTGTTTTTTTGCTTCAATATTCGTTACACATTATTCTCGCGAATAATCGTGTTACTGATAACGCTACTAATTTTATTATACACCACAAACCTCCGAAATACCTGTGAGCCGCCGCCTGAGTACCTCAACGAGAAAATGTCGGCGCCCGTGGTAATTGCAGCCTCTGCCAAACACACCGCCACTGTAAGTCAAGAAATCAGCATTAAACTTCAACCAGCATGAATTAACACCTGAAAATCCAATTATTGTCTATTCCAGCTTATATTCTTACATGGTTTGGGTGATACTGGGTAAGCATTACTAAATTACACCTGAAAAAATAAAATTTTATGTAAAAAATTTTAAACTTTGTGATTTTTCATTGAATAGTCAAGGATGGGCCAGTGCAATGGCAGCAATCAGACCTTCTCATGTGAAAGTAATCTGTCCCACAGCGCCGACGATGCCCGTGACGCTAAACGCCGGTTTTCGCATGCCTAGCTGGTTCGATTTGAAGACCTTGGATGTATCAGGGCCTGAAGATGAAGAAGGTTTGTTGAAAAAACTCATAAAATCAACAGTAAATTAATTATTTATCTAAACAGGCATTTTAACTGCCACTAAGTCAATCCACAACATGATTGCGGCCGAGGTACAAGCCGGAATTGAAAGCAAAAACATCTTACTCGGCGGTTTCTCACAAGGTGGCGCTCTTGCTTTATACTCAGCGTTAACTTATCCGGAAACTTTGGCTGGTGTAGCAGCGCTTTCCTGCTGGTTACCACTGCATAAATCATTCCCAGCAGCTATGAGATGCAGTGACGCCTTAAAGGTAGGCAACTTTTGTTACATATCTGTATTGAATTCAACTAAAATTGTATTTTATTAAAGGTGTTGCAATGTCATGGTGATTGCGATCCAGTCGTGCCATACAAATGGGGCCAGATGACCGCCTCGGTGCTGAAAACGCTGCTGAAGTCCACCGACTTCCAAACCTACCGCGGCCTGATGCACACCTCCTCCGAAGAGGAGCTGCACGATATCAAGAAGTTCATCGAGTCGAACCTCAGCCAATGAGGTCGCTCGCGATCGTGTTGCACGCTCACACACCTACGTAACCTGTTTATGTAAACGCGATAACAATGCATGCATGACGATCTAGACATCTAGCAAATTTTATCAACGGCACCGTAAAAGCAAACAAATGAATGAGAGAAAACAGAAAAAAATTAGCCCGAATTTTTTAGGTTATAGTTAGTCTAGACTAATTTGATATATTTTAAGGTTACCAGGCTTTCAAATCAGGTTATGAAACACTAAAAATTCACCAAAATTTCGAACAATATCGCTTAACATCTTCGACGCGTTTAACAATACCGTATTTAATGATGATAATGATGCATTATTCCAAAGAACACGTAATTTTGATATGTAGCTACATTTCCTAGAAAACTGTAATTATGTCGTGAGCATATGAGTCCTCGTCCTATCCAAACGAAAAATAACTTAGTGTAGGATATTCACACAAGTTAATGCATTTTATTTACTGATTTACTTAAAACTCTTAAAGAAAAGTAAAGAAAACCCAACTTTCTTGCCACATATGTATGATAAATATGAATATTGTTGGTTTAGGAATGAAATACATGTCATCAATGATATGAAATCAACTATTGTTGTTTAGAGATTCTTATTTTGAAAGTTACATCTTTGTTTTGGTGCAAAATTTAAAAGTTTTGTGCATTTTATGTTTATCCACCTAATTGTTGAACTTGCCTCCTGGCATAAACACCCAAACATGCTAGAATGCCCACTGTGCTGATGAATAATCCAAGGATTAACGCCAGGGTGTCTCCTGCATCAAACATTTTGCTGCAAAATGATTAATTGAGTAATATTTGTGTTTATATATTTATTAGAGAGATATGAGAGTGTAACACAAGAATTGCTTACGTGGTTTATGTTGAATATGATTGCCTACGTCGTTTTATTACTTTGTGTGGTGTTTGGTTGCTGTCGTTGAATATTATTAACAAATATGCGATGAGTTTACTTGTTATTTGTTGATAATTGAAGGTTATCTTTACTTTACAACTTTTAAGTAGGGTTAGCAACATTTTAAATTCAAGGAAAGAAAATTAAAGAAAACCATAAAATTATATTTTTAAATTGTTTATTTTTATTAAAAGACTTGCATATAACAACCTAAGGTGGCATATATATATATATTTGTTAAGTTTGATAGCATTTATTATCTAAAATTGTTAGAATTTGTTAACCCTAAGCATTTGTAAATAGGCAACTTTTCACACATTTAACCTATTACTGTGATTCTCTATAACTAAACAAACGAAACACACGTGTGTTTATTCAAAATGCACTAATTATTAAAGGAATTGTTAATTATTTATATTATTAACAATGGAAGTTGCATTTAAAAAGGTAGTTGAACACATTTTCAACAATTGGTCGGCGTTGCAACTTGCTGTTGATCATTCAATGGGAGGACCAAACAGTAAACAAGTAAGACTAACATTTAAATTTATTAAGCTTATAAAGTCACAAGGTTTATTAATACCTATTTAATATAAATTATAGATTGCTATTAGTACAGTTGACTACCTTGTAAATTACTTAACAAGTGAAAATGGCTTTGAAGTTGAAGACATTGAAGATGTCCTGGAAGAAATCATGGATCAAGAATTCAACACTGTCTGTGAAGATGACTCAATTAGAGGTAAAATATTCACTTATTTTAATAATTCCCTAGAAAATACCATCAAATATCTAATTTTAGAAGTATCTTCCCTCATGTTAAAATTCCTGAATCTAATAAAAGAAGGTAAAATGCAAGAAGTTGAAATAGAATATAACAAATTGCCACCTGGCACACAATGGTTATCAAAAGCACAATGTGTTCAACAGACACAACCTGAAGAAGTAAGTTTACAGTATTTTAAATTCATCCACTTTTTAATAAAAACATTAATTTAAAATTAAAATCAGTCAGGTGAATCTTCATCAGCTTCACATTCACAAGATGAAAATGATCAACAAAATGTTGATGTGCCAATGGAAGAAGTGAATGATGGTTGGACACAAGTAAAGTCCAAGAAACGACATTAGATTAATTCGTTAAACATATTTATTTAATAAAATCTCATGGTGAGTAACACAGAACTACTCAGCAATGAATATAAATACTTTTAAGTTTAATAAAACTGATCGATATCTTCCGGAGTAATTTGAACGTTCATTTTCTGTCCGTGGCGGATAATCGTCATGTTCATTTTGCGTATGTTTCCATCTGCTATGATTGCGTAGACGTCTTTTGCCACACGTACAGGAACATCGTTTATTGTTGTTACTATATCGCCGGGATTTAAACCACCCCTAAAAAATTATCATTTAAAAAATAAGAAATGACTTCTTATGAATTTCACAAATTTTATTTTAAAAGCTGTGATGTGTTTATATTTTTAAATAAAATTTATGAAATTCATTAAAATAAGTTTACTTTTCTTCTTTAAATAAGAAAAACTTTTTAAATTTATGTAGTTACTTACAAATGAGCTGGTGAACCATAAATCACCTTCATAACAAGAACACCATACTGCAAATCCGTAGGAACTTGATCATTTCGTTGTTTCAACTCATGCAGAATTTGTGGCGTGATTGTGAGCATAGTAATTCCCATATAACGTCTTTTTGGCCCTCCGGAAGGCGTCTGACGAATACCTCTAGAGTTTTGCAGGAAACCCTTAACATAATCTACAAATATTAAATAAAAATTAACACCAAAACAAAAAAATTAAACAAAATTCAATACCAATTGGTATGGCGAATGATATGCCAGCTGTAACCTTCATACTATTCACTCCAATTGCTTCCCCATCTAAATTAACCAAAGGTCCACCTGAATTTCCGAAAGTAATTGCTGCGTCTGTCTGAATATAAACCATGTCCTTTCCATGGAGACCCAATTCATCAGAACCGCGCTGAGTTGAACTCACCTACGAAATTTCATCATTAAAAGTATTTATTTATTTATAAAATTAATTTTTAAACATACCACACCTGATGTGACTGTATTACTCAATGATAAAGGACTTCCCAGTGCAACAACAAACTCTCCAGGCCTTAATTCCGATGAATTTCCTAGTTTCATCACTGGTAACTTCTTCGCATCGATTCGTACAGTTGCCAAATCACTCTGCACATCGATATCTTCTACTAAACCAGAGTAAACTTTACCATTAAACAGTTTTACTTCGACTTTTGTGTGTGGTTTATTCGTAACAACATGTGCATTGGTTAAAATCAAACCATCTTCTTTTATGATGAACCCTGAACCATTTGAGACAGTTGTAGGGCGTCCTGAGAAGAATTCTAATCTACGTGTGTCTTTTATTTCAATGTACACCACAGCTGGTGAGACTTCTTCAACTACATCGGCAATGAAATTGTGCAGATTTCTTCTGCCTTTTAGTGAAACAGCTTCCACTTTTTCAGTGTATAACTTGTACAGTAAGAGACCTGATGTTACATAGAATAAATACTTAAGGTTTTCCATGAAAACGCCTTCATTTTGATTGGTTTCTTGATTATTTTGTTTGGAAGTGTTTAAGATTGTGGATGTAACATATTTATTTCTGCTATAACTTTGAATTAAACTTGAATACTGCGGTTTAAACCTGGTGGGTGGTGAGTTTCGCCAGTGTTTTAACAATGCTAAAGCGAATTTCATTGTGCGCACTTAAGTTTTATTGTTTTTCGTTCAATATGTTTATAAAAATTAGGACAGATGTGAATTGTAAGGTTAAAATATGAATATGTGTCAGTTTTAAATTTAGCGGGGATAAAGAAAATAAAAATTGCTTAAAATTAATTGTTATCATTCTTCACGAAGAGATACTATAATTTATAATTATTTTAATACTTTTGTGTTTAAAATATTTATATATTATGTTTAATATCTTAATATAGGCAACTTATTATACATAAAATTAATACAAATCAATTTTGAACTTTAAATTTTCAATTATTAAAAATTGTTGCTTTTGGGATTTTCTCAAAAAAGAAAACATTATACAATAATAATATAATAATTTGTTTATAACAAAATATATTTATTTTGTATATAAAATATAGGCAACTTATTATACAAGAAAATATACACAAATAAACTTTGAATTTAGCGTACTTTAAGTTTTCACTTTTTAAAACTTATCGAAACTTGTTGAAGTTTCATTTGAGTGAGCGACATTTAAAAAGGTGTGCGAGAACCAGAGTTCACAAGGTCCCAAGCGTGTTGTCTATTACTTAAACGCGAGGCGAGGATAATTCTAAACGTCGAGCGAAATTACGGGCTGAAATAATTAATCCTCGCGAGATGATAGGGTACGCTCGCCGTAATTGATATTTATATTTCAATTTTCGATGTTCCACGAGTTCCATGTTAGCATGTTCTGTAAAAGAGTAAAAGGCAAAGCAGACACAGTCGAGCGTCGTGCGCTAATAGATAATGCGCGAGCGAGAAAAAGCGTGACAGCACGAATCGAACCGACTCACCAAAGAAAACAACCGCACACACACGCCGCGCGCGCAGGTAAAACAGGTAAAACAGGTGATATATATGCTGGTGGTCGATGTGGATCATATGGATCATGACCATGATGATCCGTTTGCTCGCATTTGCGCATGCGCGCATTCACAGAGATTAGCAGCGCGCAAACGCACGCGGCTGCGTCATACATCGACACCGGCGTGATTTATTAACGGTGGTTAGCGGCCGATTTTTGTGATCGATGTGCATCGCAGATCGTAAATCGTACTCGAAAACACCGCCGAGATTACACACACATTCAATCTGCACCACTCATTATCATTCATTCAGGTAATAAGCACAAGTACAAGTACATTACGTAATATCATATAAGATTTTTATTCTGTCACTTTACAATCGATCTGGAAACACGTAAAACCGACGCTGTTACCGTCTTCATCGGGCGTGTAGAGGGTCATTTCAATGCCAACATTAATCTGTGAATAAACAACATGAAATATACAAAACAAAACAAGTCATGTTGCTTTATAACTTTAGAACTTACAGTTGGGAAAGATTTTTTAATTTCCATTGTTGTGGCATAAATAACGCGCTGTCCTTCTTCCAGAGGGCACTCATCATCAACGAGTTCTTTGCAACCCTCTGACTCGTTAAGTGGGTAGTCTATATCAAGTCCTAATGCTGTAGCCAGGACTTTAGGTTCGAATGTGTCCAAATCATGCGCTGAAAATACAAAAACACAAATTTTATGTTTATTTATGAACAAATTAGATTAACTTACGTGCATCGAAGGTTATATTCCAGACAACAAGACTGTCACGTGGGAAACTGCATGGTCCTTTGTCACAGTCCTTCACTGTGACTGCATAAGGCAAAGGAAGTCCTGATTTACCTTTAAAACAATAAAATCATAAAAATTTCGTAGTTATTTCACGATTTTAAGCAAAATTTTATGATTTTTACTTACATACATTGACTTCGGTAGCTCTCGCTACCGAAACCAACGAAACCAAGATGGCGGCGACGCAGAAAAACTGTTTCATGATTAAAACTTTTCAAAGTGAAGTGGTAAATTTGAGGGCTGACTTTGGAACATACCCGTCTGTTACCGAGTAAAAACAGGCATTATTTTATCACACGGGAAACACTTAAGATGTTTGCTCATTGCTCTAATTTGAATGAAACTTTGTTTCGCAATGCGCAGGTGTGTCGCACAATTTGTTTACTCATTGCACGTAAAGCACACGATAACATCTTGATAAAAAAATTAATTGAGTCACAATGTTATCGAAATGGCTAAATATAAATCGTTCATTGATAAATTAATGTATGTTTATTTTAAATAGCGTTATAATACTCATGTTTCATTCATTTTAGATTTGACAATGGAGGAGAGCAGAAGCAAAATCAACCCACGACTTTTCCGTCGATCTGGAAGCAGGTGAATGGGAACTTGTCGCCATCTTCGTTGTAGGTGTACAGGGTCAGCTCAATTCCGAAGTTAATCTGGAAAAATGTAAGTTTTTGAATCAATTTTAAGGTTAGATTTAAGTAAAAGGGGAAATTTTAATGTCTAGTGCTTTGTTGTGGTGGCAGAAGTGTTCATTCGTGATATTCCTATCCCTATTAATATTATAAATGCGAAATTATAAGTCCTGATGCTTGTTACACTTTCACGCAAAAACTACTTAACCGATCATCATGAAAATTTGTACACATATTCTTAGTGGTCCCCGAATGGTTATAGGCTACTTTTATTTAATAAAGGTATTTTTAAATAAAATAAAATAGTTTAATAATAATACCTCTGCATGGCTATTTGACTACTTTATAATCTAGCATTCCAGCAATGAAGCTCAAACCTAAGTACTATAGTACCATCACACTGTATTATCACACTGTATTACCGACAGCTACGTCAACATCAAATCCAATTGACTACACTATGGAGACTGTACACTATACTTCCATAGACTATACTTTCAGCCATTTTAAACTTCCCGCCATTCTACTTCATTGTTACTTCTTCTGTGACTACAGACGCGTACGGAAGCAACTTCATTATTTTAGATATTCGCGGGTTAAAGCTAGTTTAATATAAAAGCGATCATACTCTTTGATATTACACTTACATTTGGATAAAAACTCAAAACCTCCATGGAAGTAGCGTATAAAACACGTTGGCCTTCCTCCAGAGGGCACTCATCGTCAACCAACTGATTGCAACCGTTTGGTTCAGCTAATGGGTAATCCACATCGATTCCAAGAGCATGTGCGATGATTTTCGGCTCGAAAATCTCCAAATCATTCGCTGAAAATAAAATTATCCAATTTTTAAATGCAGATTAATATAGGCAACCAGTTATGTACTTACGTGCATCAAAGGTTAGGTTCATGAATACTTCAGTGCCTTTCGGTAACTCGCATGGTCCCTTATCACAATTCAACACTCCAACTGAGACTGGTAATGGAAGACCAGATTTACCTTAATATTAAATAATTCAAAGATAATTTTAGTAAATTTGAAGTTTTTTTTTTATTTTATGGTAACTTACAGACGTTGACTTCTGTTGCGCTGATGTAGGCAACACACAGTGCAAGCACAACGGGAAACATAACTTCTTTCATCATTTTTATTTGTTTTTTTTTTGATTCGCAAAGAAAAAATATAGACTGAACTGTTTCTAGCTTCAGACTAATTCACCCTTTGGTTACTTCGAAGTATTTATACGAAATGATGAGATAGATAAGTAATTTTCCTCGAATTGAAGCAAATCGCACTTGAAAGGTGCAGGTGTTCAAATATTAACAAGTTAACACCAGAATTACATTCGATTAGGACATGAATATCAATTAAGCTTCACTTGTTAACAGACAGTGCGTAACGTGCATCCACCAAGTGGTTACACCTGTGTTTAATTTGTTGCTTATCAATTAATTCAACAAATTCAATTTATCGAGTGCGAGTGTGAAACAAAAAACGCATATTTTTACAATTTGTGATTTCTTGAAATTTGCCCGACACAAAACGCGAATAATTATGCGCACAATGCTCGGCGCGCATAAAACCATTATATTTTATGTGCCCATCCAGCGGTCGACAACGTGTGCGTTGGGGCAGCGGGCGCCCATTTGAATGGAAATCTATTAAACTCAATCGAACGGATGGGACGCGCACGGCGAATAAATACGAGCATTAAATCATAACGCTCGGCGCTGAATAGAAATTACAATCGCCATACAAATGCAGCGTGTGTGCTGCATGCGTGTGTTGGTTGCATACATCTCTCGGCATCGCGTTCGACATTCATGACGTTTTAACGTTTTCCGCGCACAATTACGGACGTTTTGTCGCCGGCCGGCGCAATGCCGCAATTATTTATGCGATAAGCTCGCCGATGCGATGCGCACAATACGTCGAACGCATAATGTTAATCATTCAAGGGGGAATAAAAACAACAAAACCATCAACGACTGCTGTACGCGTATCGCTCATAAATGGCAAAGGCTAAAAACGCCAAGTTGTGGGTTATACATGATGAATTCATGTATACATGGTTGCCTATATTAACTTGAAATGCAAAAATTCGTATTTGTTTGATGAATAAATGGTGTATACATGGTTGCCTACAATAACTTGAGAAGTAAAAATATACATGAGGAATATAAGATGTATAACCGGTTGCCTACATTAATTTGAGACCTAAAAATAGTAGGAACATGCATTCAAAGATACACATTAGCTTGGTTGCCTATATTAAAAGGAAAAATATACATGATGAATAAATGGTGTATACAGGGTTGCCTACCACTAATGTGAAACGTTAAAAAGTGATATTATATACATCCAGCGATACATATGTGAATCGGTCGCTGGGTTGCCTATAATAAATTGCAAACTCTTCGTAAATAATGCTCGTTTGGCGAGCTTTTTGCATCCGCGCGACAATAATTAACATCCTCGGCGAGATTATTACCTCGCCTTAATATTTTCCACGATTTTATTGACACAGCGTTCGGTTACATTGTGCGCACTTTCAAATCGCACGAATTCATGCGCGCTGCTCGTGCGCTCATAATGAACATTTTCCAACATTTGAATACGCGCTTGGATGTTGGATGCTGGATGCTGCAACTAAAAAGCTCAGCTGTGCGCGCGAGCGCGCTTAAGCCACACAGCCATGGGAACCGACCGCCGTGTCCTGGCCGGGTGTCGGACTTTAATCATTAATATTTCATTTTTAATGCGCCGTAAGTGTAGTAAAGTAAACCGGCGTCGTCGTCGGCGATAAAGAATGGTAAAGCACCTGTGTGCGCGACGCGCGCACGGCCGTCGCATTGCAATCCCACGCGAAATAAACTATTCTAATGTGAGATGTCCTAAAATGGATGCTCAAGTGGACTTGGACTGCTGCTAATGGAAACTATTACAAATTGCGCTTAACTAACTTAGATTTTTTGCTGTTTAAAAGCATTTTTTTGCTGTAAAACGGTACTATGCCGCTATTTAACTTCATTTGATGGATAATTTAATTTAATTTAGATGGCATAAAGGAAATATATTGTTTTTCCATGCTTAATAATCGTTTAAAGCTTAAAACCCGCTTTAAAATAGAAAAAACAACAATAACTTTTAAACTAAAAGAGGTAGAAAGTTGATTTTTGTGTTAATAAATCAATTTTATCAAGCACTTTAATTTTTACTATCGAAAATTTCAAGTGAGATAATTTTTTACATTTAATTTAAAAAAATCGATAAATTTTTGTGAGAAATTTGATTTCACTTTCTTTATCACTCAATTTAAGTGATATTTAAGTGTGGAATCAATGATAACTTATAAGTACTAGAGAAATAGAGTAATCGTTGCTTTCACACTAGAAAAAATTAGCATATTAACGTGTTGATAACGCGTAATTTGATTCGAAGTTTAATGTTCGATTTTTTTTCGTTTTTCGGTTGTTTTTTGTGTTTTTTAGCCTTTGAAAGCACGTTTATCTGTAATTCATGCGTGGCCGATCTGGTTTCGGACGTGTATGTGCACCATGAAGATTAATTCCGCTCTCCCAAGGCGCGATCGTCGAATTCCGAGCCCATAAATTTGCTTTTTAATTTACTCGCGCCTGTACGCGCCTCTTTGCGCGCGCTTCTTCCCCGGCAATGGAAAAAACAGTAATTTAGAGTTTTGTTAAAATTCTTTACAATTCCAACCGGTGCGCGCGCGCGCACATAACGCGCAATAAATTAAAATCGCGGCGTGTGCCCCGGCCGAGAGACGATGCATCATCATATGCAGCATGCATGCATATGTGTGAAGAAGAAGAAGTGGCGTGCGAAGGAGAGTGTCCGATCCGTTTAGCTAATCGCTTCGAAAAATGCCCGATTGTATGTAGTATGGCATGGCGGGCCGGTGTGAGGTAAATCCACAAATCACGCGCGCAAAGTGTGAAATCGGCCAGCGGGACGGCCGATTGTTCGCGACAAATGACGTCCGCCCGCGCGGACTCCCGACCGCGACCGCTCCGACAAGCAATAAATTCCCTCTTCGGTAATTACCACTATCACCATGCCTAAAACTTGCGGAAATGGCTAAATATATTTTTATGTTCATTTGGTTGCCTATACAATTTAAATTAACTCCTACAACAGATAAATTATAGTCGCACTGAATTGCGACACCTGTAAAATGTATTATAACCTTTTTTTCTTAAATATTTTAAGGTCAAAAGATGCACAATTAAATTCTGAATCAAATGCATTTAAAAGTAAAGAAAAATAACTTGTAGTTTAAAAGTTATTCGTAATTTTCTAAAAAATGCAACAGATTCTCTTCTGGAATTAGCTTTATTTCGGAGATTGTTGTTAGACACAGAAATGCCTTAAGTATGGTGTTGATTGGGTTGCCTGTTTCTGCAAAAAATGCTAAGCAAAATCAACGATTTGTCGCGATTCTCGCCTCTATTTAATTTTGAAAAATACAGTTTAGCCGTTTTCTAATAGATGGCACTATCATAAACCATGTGTGACAGAGAGTTGGCTGTTTAATATACACAATATTGAGCGTACAGATTTGATAATGCTCGTCTGTCACATCATGATTAAATTATCACATCCCTACTAATATTATAAATGCGAAAGTCCTGATGTTTGTTACACTTTCACGCAAAAACTACTTAACTGATCATCATGAAAATTTGTACACATATTCTTAGTGGTCCCCGAATGGTTATAGGCTACTTTTTATTTAATAAAAAAAATTATTTTTTAAATAAAATAAAGAAATTGTTTAGCCAATAATACCTCTGCATCTGGCTATTTGACAACTTTAACGCCATCTAGCATTCCAGCAATGAAGCTCAAACCTAAGTACTATAGTACCATCACACTGTATTATCACACTGTATTACCGACAGCTACGTCAACATCAAATCCAATTGACTACACTATGGAGACTGTACACTATACTTCCATAGACTATACTTTCAGCCATTTTAAACTTCCCGCCATTCTACTTCATTGTTACTTCTTCTGTGACTACAGACGCGTACGGAAGCAACTTCATTATTTTAGATATTCGCGAGCGAAGCCGCAGGTTAAAGCTAGTAAATTATATTTGTCAAATGTACCAGTGACAACTTTAGAGGCATTATTTTTTGAATTGTTAGCATTTCGTGCAAAATCATTACATTTATTAGCAAAACCAGAAAGTTTTAAAGTTATTAAAATTAAAATAATTAAAAATTTAGTTTTTCTTCCTTTTGACATTTAATATTTATGAAATCTTCATATTTCTCTTTCCTTAATTGGTGGTGACCTCTAGCGGTGAAAAATCAAAGCTTGTGCAATTAATAAGTAAATAAAAATAATGAATGTTTTCACTTGTTTCTCGCAACAGGTGCGCAGGTGATTTGCGATGCATAAATTAAAGCAACTCTCTACGATTGCTATTATCAAGTGACCTTTTAGTTTCCTAATATCTTAAGCGCAATGCGACGCGAACAGCATCATAACTCATCCGACGTTATTATAAGAATTAAGTCAGCGTGTTTTTATAATTTTTATTTTTATATAATATCCACACACACATAGCGCGACACACGCACAACACGACCAATTAAACACTGCGCGCAAAGATGAGCCAACCGAGCATACTCTCATCATACGTTCGGCATATGTTAATGAGTAAATAAATAAGTTTAAGTGCGCACGGTGAGCTGTTGTGCGGTTGTGTATAAAAGAGTACGACTAATGTCTAATGCGCTAATACGCTAATGTTCTAATGCGTTTGATAGTTTTGATGGTTGAGGCCTCATGAAGAATATCGAATAACTCGACGGCGCGCGCGCGAGTGGCTTTTTAGGTGTGTCGCGAGTTGAGGTTCTCAGCCGGGCCGCAAGACCGCAGAGATTAGTCGGAGGAGCCTGGCTGGCGCGAGTGTGCCACATATGATGGGTCACGACCTAAGACCTCCTGCAAACCTCTCTTCGTCTCCACCATGGTGAACAGCGAGCTGGAGACGAAATGCGCATCGATTCACACACATAAGCGATTACTAATAAATTAAACAACTAACGTACGCATGGAAAACACACTCGAGACGAAAATATCTTTGATAGTTTTTACTATAACATAAAAATACATTGGAATAACGGGGATGTGGTTGAATAATATTAGAATTGAAATTTTTACCAAAATAAAAATAGTTTTTTGTTAA